GTATATTCTTAGCCGATTTTGAAACGCATATTTCCCTTTCCCAATTTGAGCCCTTCCAAAAATAACCCCTTCAAAAAGGGCGCTTATTTTCGGAATTTTAAGGTCTTTTCCAAAAGGTAAAATCATTTATCGGAAAACCTTCCGTAGCTGCTAACAGTATGAATTGGTCTGTGCTGTATTTATTCGATAAAATGCCGTCCTCGATTCCAGTCAAGACAAGTCGGGCGTACCCCCCGGTTGGCGTTAATGAAGCGATTATTTGAAAAATGAATCCGTTAGTCGTTGCCGCAACCAGTCGACGTCTCAAATACACATCTGTCTTCCTGCATACGTGTAATGAATAATGACCTTTTAAGGTAACTCCTTTGTGTCCGTGTATGCATAAAACCAGGAATCCGGAGTTGGTACTCTCTGAAATCCATAGCACTGGCGGAAAACCCTCTGTATAACTGTTCGATCAGATTTAAATTTCTTTGAATGGATAAAATTCAAAATTCAGGTGGAGAGGGGGTGGTTTTACAGATGGAAAATTGTCCTGAGAACACCGCTCCCATTCACTAGAACAATGCGGCGTTTATTCAAAGATTATGCATGAAGCACTTGGGGCAACTTAATCTACATCATCCGGACAATAACTATTCTATCTCAGCAAAAAAGGGACACATTGGAACTTTGAAACTCTTTCTGCCTTACAAATGTTTGTAAATAATTTTTCATTGTTGTTGTCAAAAAGTTTTGAAATTTTGTAAGACAATTTTTAATATCGGAAACTCTAGAAATGTTTATATAAACAGTTGGTGGGTTTAATCGAATAAAGATGTTGCATATTTTTCAAATGAAACATATTTTTGCCACTTTGGACCACCTTGAACGCGACGGGAACTGGGAATTAGGGTTTTTAAGAAGAAACAAAGGAGCATGGGAAGCCATGGGAAAGCCGCCATCTTTGCTGATGCGACGGACACATGATGATGGCATTGAGAGGTACGTGTATTAGGTCTACCTTTTACGAATCGGATGTATAAGTGAAGTAATTAATAGAGTTTAGTGCGAAGATATCAGACATATTTCGCAAGCTTGCCAAGCTGTATTATGAGCTCCAAAACAAAGCATGATAACAGTAAAGCGTAAGCTAGCGGCGTGGTTGCCGGTTGACATCGATTAAATATAAGCTTAATTTACAGGTTTGTCATGAAGAGGATGGGGTCGGGGATTTCCAGGCGCGGATCCATACGGTTTCCACCGTTTTAACGAAGTCGGTCAGATTTTTCATTATAACTATATTTTAAGTAAAAAACTTTAAACTTTCCAAGTTAAAATCTGGAAAATGGTTTGTATAGTCGGTAAATTTCCTGTCTGAATGACTCAGAAACCAAGAAAAGGGGACTTTGGGGAGTTAAAATCCAAAAAAAAATCCCGGGGGAGCATGCCCCAGACCTACGTAGAAGTAGGAAATCGGTCAGTATTTATCCTAGATCCGCGCCTGATTTCCCCCGGCTACTTTCAACGTGGTCCCCGGCTACTTTCTTAGGGAAATAGACGAGAAATAGAACCAAGAGAAATCCGTTGCTGTTTTATTCCCTTCCTACTTGTTGTATTTACCAAGCAACTTGAAATCTTAGTGACAACTCTGATTTATTTAAACCGCACAAGAAACTGTTAGGTGTAGAAAGGAAACTTTGAAGGTAAAAAGGAAATGTGAAAAAATATCGAGTTTGCTTAGGATTTATAGTTGTCTTAAGTTATTTGTGTCATGTTGATTGTTGTAACTGCTCTTATCAGCAAGCTATCGGTTAATTTACTGTTAATCGATATCTCAAAGGAAAAATTGTTTTCATCGGCGATCTTTTATTTGAGTTCGGTTGAGCGAATTTTTCACGGCTTGCACAATAGTTTATGTAACAATAATATTGTCGTTGGCTCATGAATAAAAGGACGGAAGTTCCAGGGGGTGGGCAGGTTATGACAAGCACCCCCTAAATGGAAATTCTAGGGGGTAGGGGGTCTAAAACAAAAGTGCCCTCTGTGGGGGGGTATGGATATATATTGGAACTGCACATTCCATTTAATAACCAACCAACCTCTACCCTCCTGGCAGTTATGTTGACGAAGTGTTTTGACATTACAGTTAATACTAAAAAAATTTGAATTTTCCTCAATGCACTGGAAAAATGTATTGATGCACTACCGTGAGATCAGGCCCAATTTTAGCGGTTCTCATACATTCTCTCTAACGGTTACTGCTAAAATTGGGCCTGATACAAACTCTCTCGCGTTTGTGCTCGTTACGGCCAGATTTTGGCCGTAACGCTGATTGGCTGTTAGAACAATGCCACAAGATCTGATTGGCTGTCGGAAACGCCGGAAGTTGAAAGCGCCTATTCCTCGCGTGGTTGTTTTCGTGAATGATCCGTCGTCGGCGGAGAGAAGGATCGATTTTTACTGTCTTTTTTATTGTTTTATGGTCTTATGGTAGGAAATATGCCTTAATATGTGCCATGGAAATTCAGAAAATTCATATGGTTGTTCATATCTTCTCAGGATTTGCTTTATTTACGGAACTAATGTGAGTGTATCGCGGAGTTGAATCCCTCTGGAAGTTGTTAACCGCTAACAAGGTGCCTTTTGATTTACCAACAAACGAGTGCAAATCAGAATACTGTCCATCTTAAAACTGGTTTCATTTGAAAGTTTAGCCGGGAATGACTTCTCTGAACGGGGTACGCAAGGGGAGGCTCACTGCGAAAGAAACCTCAATCGCTAACTGTAAAGTAGTAGACGAAAAATATCGCATCTCTGCTCAACGAATTTTTGTAGGCATTATTATAAAAGCTGGTGGCTTAAGGTAACAGACTGATTGTTTGCCTTTGCTTTTTGTAAAAAATAAACCAGGAAAACTGGTGTCCTCGCTCGTTGGCTGTTTGCTTTTGTTTTTAAAGATTTATGTACTGAAAATCGCGGAAAATTGCCGCGGAAAACATCAAGGCGACAGAAAAATAGAAATTTCAGTATTTTAAACTCGAGCTCGCCTAGTCAAAATAATAAAACTAGTAGAACATCGTGTCCCCGCCTTTTTACCTTCTACGCCAATAGAATAACCTTCGAGATCTCCCTTAATCTCGCAAGAAATTAAATGTGATTGTGCTGACTGTTTTATTTTTAGCTGAAAAAATTAACAGCTAGAATTTTTTTTTTAAGTCAGCCAGTCTGCATTTTTCCCACGCGTGAAAAATTTGCATACTAGAAAAACAAGCAACGGAAGTAATTTTGGTTGGATGATTCGGCAAATGTCAATCAATCAAAAAAGTGGGCGGCAGGCGTTTCGTAGAAGGTTTGTATCAGGCTCTCTTTTCGTTTCGCCTTGCCCGCCGGAATATTATTTTCAAAGCGAAACGCAAATAGAGCCTGATCTCAGGTTATTGATGCACATACATATGTGTCAACTTTCCCGAATACTTCACCGTTCTCCTGTTTTCCTTACGGGTCAGAAAAGCTGCCCGAGAGCTGGGTGCGTGAAAATTAAGTGGAATGACCCTGTGTATCATATGTAGCGTGGTTTTGCTCATCATCATATTTCTACCGTATGTTGTGGCCACCTTAGTAATTTTTGGTTTTCAAAGCATCATCATGACACCTTGGATAACTTCAAGGTCCATTGTAGCATGTATCTTTTGGTGTTAGGTGAAACATGCATAGCATCAAATAGACTCTGTGGTCAGAGTTTATTTATCAGGTGTTTGTTGCAAACCTCACTATTTGTACATTGTGTCAGCCTCGTTGCGTTGTGTGTCATTTGAAAGGCAGGTCGGTAACAAATTAGTATTCTAGGACGCCAGAAAGAATTAAAAGATTTTGGAAATGTAAACAAAATGTTACTGTTTTACAAGTCTGTCACTCCAATTTCGCTTTGCTTGGTATATGCAATTGATAGGCGGTGAATTGAACAAACAGGAAGTGTTTTTGGTCTATTTTCTTGCACTTGTTAGCTAAGGAAATGCCCAGTCCCCGGCCGTTAGTAAGAGCGCTGCTTTTATATTCCAAAAATGACTATAGTAGTTTTTTGCAGCAAAAATTTCCAAATATCGGCGACGCTTTAATGCATTTTAGACTATTTTTGAAGAAAAAGGTTAAGTGTTTGCGTCCACACTCACAGGTAAGATGCAATATAGACGTAAAGATTATGGGAAGACGTTTTGCCATGTGCGAAATTTAAAATTACACGAAACAATACACACAGATGAAAAGCCATTAGAAACGTATGGAGTGTGGTAAAGCATTTAGCCGCGCCCGAGATCTGGAAGTACATGAAAGAATCCACACTGGTGAGAAGCCTTTAAACTGGAAGTGGTGTATAATGGCCTTTAGCCACGCAAGAGTTCTGAAAAAAAAAGAAAGAAAACACAGTGGTGAGAAGCCGTTTAAGTGCAAGCATTGTAACAAGGCCTTTAGCCGGGCAGGAGATCTGAAAAAACATGAAAGAACACACAGTGGTGAGAAGCCGTTTAAGTGCAAGCAATGTAACAAGGCCTTTAGCCGGGCAGGAAGTCTGAAAGTACATGAAAGAATACACACTGGTGAGAAGCCATTTAAGTGCAAGCATTGTAACAAGGCCTTTAGCCAGGCAGGAGATCTCAAAAAACATGAAAGAATACACAGTGGTGAGAAGCCGTTTAACTGCAAGCAATGTAACAAGGCGTTTAGTGAGGCGGGCAATCTGAAAAAACACGAAAGAAAACACAGTGGTGAAAAGCCTTTTAAGTGCAAGCACTGTGACAAGGCGTTTCCCGTGGCAGGATATCTGAAAGTACATGAAAGAACACACAGCGGTGAGAAGCCATTTAAGTGCAAGCAATGTAAGAAGGCCTTTATCGAGGCAGGAAATCTGAAAAAACATGAAAGAATACACACTGGTGAGAAGCCATTTAAGTGCAAGCACTGTGAAAAGGCCTTTAGCCAGGCAGGAGATCTGAAAAAACATGAAAGAATACACAGTGGTGAGAAACCTTTTAAATGCAAACACTGTAACAAGGCCTTTAGCGAGGCAGGAAATCTGAAAGTACATGAAAGGATACACACTGGTGAGAAGCCGTTTAAATGCAAGCACTGTGACAAGGCGTTTAGCCAGGCAGGGAGTCTGCAAGTACATGAAAGAAAACACACAGGTGAGAAGCCATATAAGTGCAAGCATTGTAACAAGACCTTTAGCCAGGTAGCAGATCTGAAAAAACATGAAAGAACACACAGTGGTGAGAAACCTTTTAAATGCAAGCACTGTAACAAGGCCTTTAGCGAAACAGGAAATCTGAGAGTTCATGAAAGAATACACACTGGTGAGAAGCCGTTTAAGTGCAAGCACTGTGACAAGGCGTTTAGCCGGGCAGGAAGTCTGCAAGTACATGAAAGAAAACACACTGGTGAGAAGCCTTTTAAGTGCAAGCATTGTGACAAGGCCTTTAGTCAGGTAGGATATATGAAAGAACATGAGCGAATACACACTGGTGAAAAACCTTTCAAGTGCAAGCAGTGTAACAAGGCCTTTTGTTGGAGGCAAAATCGTAATGTACATGAGGAAAGACACCGTTGTTGGATTTGTCTCAGGATGATTAAGACCAAGCCATTGCTCCTTCAACATTATGATGACCATATGAGGTTACTGGACCTAACGTCTTAAATTTAATCAACGTACTCAACATTCTGTGATTCAATCGGTGGAATGATTCATTGGTATTTCCTTGTAAATTTAAGCTAATCAAAAGGCGTTAAATGAGATGGGATCTGCGTCATTTTCCTGGTTGCTACCATAAGAAACGTCTTAGTACCTTTTTCAACGAAGGCAAAACAGGAGGTTCTCGATGGTCTTCAATCCCTAAAAGCTTCAGTGGAACAAGAAACTGAAACTGGTTTTTTGGCAAATTAATGAAGCCACAAAAATCGATGCTAGACTGTAAATGTTAAGAACCTCTTTCCTCGTCTAAGAAGTCTGCCACCACTAATGCACCTATCAAACCAGAAACTAAAACTGAAACTACCACCATACAAGGGTCGCGTGCTTTCCAGAAAATAACTTGCAATTGCCGTAAAGGGGGCAAAATGATTCGTTGTTAACAGCCTCAGTTTTGATCTTTTTATAAAAATGATCGTGGATCCACCACCGCTTGAATGAACTCACCTCTTTAAACAAAACTTAAACAGTATGCTTTGTGGTACATACTTACATACTCGAATTCCGTTGAAAAATAGCCTTGTAATTTTGCGTTAACTGGAAAAGACAAATACGTATTTAGTACTCCGTATTTAGTGTTGAGAGGTCTAAAATGCTATCAACTGGGAAGAAAAGAACAAACCTGTTTGTTTTCGAGTCATATAGTTTGTGGCCGAAGCACAGCAAAGCAAAACAAACATAAGTGCGGATCTGTTGTACGCGAGACTAATGGTTTGAAGATATACTGCGTTGTGTGTAAGAACGTACCCTGTTGACAAGTGGCCTTTAAAGGAAATTTAAAAGCGTAACAAAAGGATTTTAGCGATGAGGCCTCACGAAAGTGAGAGTTATTCGTTACTCGCAAAGCAGCTATTTCTGTGGCCTTATCCTTATAATAAGTTGAGTTTTTTGGCGTTCCTTATTAACTTTGGTAGTGTTGAGGCAGTTCTTTTTATCGGCCATTTTCCGAGTAATCACATCATTATAGATGATTCTGATCACTGGCGTCATTACGTCACTGGTTAAATTTCGATGGAGCATTATTGTTTAATAATATTTTTTTTATATTTAGGAGCGGTGTTAGGTTTGGAACCTTGATTGTTGAAATTTTTATTTGCACCCTTGTCTTGTAGACGTGTAGCTTTCGTGACAAAGAAAATATTTCTTTGTGGTTCTGTTTTTAAGTCTCTTTCAGCTTATGTATATTGTTATGTTCATTTTGTGCAACGAAAATATAAAATGCTCTCTGGACTATTATGTTCTACATGTTAAACAGCTTAGAAAGTGTTGATGTTTGCGCCACGAGTTTCCTTTTGTTTACTTTGTGTATCGGAAAATGCGTTTCAGTTTGTTTTTTATCGTCGAAGCCTTGCTAATTTTCCTACCCCTGGTTATCCAAACGTTGGATAGTGCTTTCTACCCCCCGGGGGGGGGTACTTTAGGAATTTCTGGGTGGGGATGTGCCGCTGGGACTCTGGAACCGTTAGCCTATACCAGAGCTAGCTCAGCTAAATTTTGCTACCCTATACTAGAGTAGCTGTTTCCCCAGTCTTGATAAAATCTGCAACCAACTGATCAGTTTCCTGAAAAATGATACCCTTTTCTAGACCCAAATGTTCTGATTTATATACCCTATCCTAGAGAAAACTGCTTGAAAACCATACCCTTCACAGCGGCACATACCTATATAGCCCATATATGGCAGTACCCTCCCCCCCCTGGTTTTTACCGGTTAAATCACTATCTAACGGATAAGTATTAGGCGAAACAATTACGTTGTGCACTAGAGAGATCTTTTCCAGTGGATAGCGCTTGAACGCTGGGGCCTAAGTGACAACTGAATTCATTAGATTAATCCCACAACCTTGGCCGTTGTTTTTACAGCACTGGGAGTCTTTAGGTTATATTCTCGTTTAGACACCCATCCAGTTCCTAACCCCACCCTAAAGGGCTTAATTAACTTTAGTGACATACGAGACACGCCATGTTTTGCAAGATAAGGACCTCGAGTATTAGGCTCGATTTCCGCCGCTCACTCGGTCCTCCCCGAGAAGAGACGGCTGGCCGCGTGAGTGGCCTATCGTGTCTGTGACGTAAATTCAAAATTTTAATTTATGCGTAGTTGTCGGAAACGTGTTGTTATCATATTGCGTGACAAATAGGACGTGGCCATTTTGACATGAATGTAAGCCGAACCAATAGATAAAATCAACAATCACCGGAAATTCCTGTGTGGCCAAACTATGAGCGATAAAAGAATAGGATCGAGTAGATTTACGAGCAGTTTTTGTGACAGTGCGAGTGTCAGAGAGTTGTACCTGAGGTGATCGAATTGTGACTGTGAGAATAAAAACCTTAAAAACATTTTGTGAATTTTGGAGAGCACTGAAGTAGAGCGGACATTCTCCAAATAGTTACCAAACATCGGAAATGGGAAATGTCATTAAATACCGAACAAATGTGGTACTTTGCTTCGTCGTCGCTCTGGCATTTGCCGTAAAAATCAGCAGGAAACACGTACGGATTGTATTTACATCGATCTCCCTTATGTCCAGGATCGATATAGCATTACGCATGTACTTGACAGTCGCCTCTTTCACGTTAGCTGTCAGCAACCATGGTTACGGTTGGTTGAAGTTCAAAATCATACTTACCATTTGCCAGTTTCTCTAAGCTAATATTTTAAATATTTTAGGTTTTAAGCTTAAAACGCTCTTAGACACGATAGCGCGCCACATCAAACAACAAATTTGCATCCTCCGTTTGACATCTGCTGCAGGAAAATAAATTTATGCTGCCTGCTCTATTTGAGCAGGTAACTAGGGAATTTAAGATAGTTCACTACGGTCGGATACGTATACGGGAGGCCTGGGGCCCTGACGGTAAGAAGGCGCGAAAATTTTCAATATTAGATCGGACAACAAAACAGAGGACGGTGAAGTCATGTGCGAAACGCGCTTGTGATTTCTTTCGCAGAAGGCTGAAGAACAGTTTCTTATTTCACACGAAGAAAACCAATCAGAAGAATAAGGGTACAAATTAAAGCTAGCTAGTTTTCAAAACAAATTGATGTTTTTATTTGAACTTTCCTTTCCTAAGCAACACCGAGTTAAAGAAATCTGTTCTTGATAATAAATGCAGTCAGTTTAAGTTTAAAAAAAGACGGCTACAATCATCACTGTTAGGCCCACTTGAAACGTCGAACTTATCATGTGCCAAAGTACTAATGTATAGATTTAGCCAGGGCTAAAAGTGAAGCCCCAATTAATAAATTTATAATGTAAATCAAACAATAAACTTGTAATCCACAAATCAGTTAACTTAAGGGCACATTCATGTGACTTTTGAGGGAAAGGCTAAGTTATTTTATAGTGAAACATCTTACATCGAGTTGATAGCCTTATGTACACCCAAAAAATAGCAAACATCTTCGATCATATTTAAGATCACAGTAGATTAGGCCTCGAAAACAAAATCTTGGGAGACGAATCAGGCCGAACTTTTCTGCGTTCGCACAGGTTTACTTTACAAATCCTTACCAACAAATCTGGGGATGTGTAAACCAACCTTTTATACTTTTTTCACTTTTTATCCGAGGTGAAACAGTACTATTTATCATACAGACCTTGGACAGAATGCGGTATTTCACGATTTTTCAAGACAAATTACACTCAGTCAATATTCAGGACGATCAATCGTGGGCTTTTAGTGAAACCATTCCAAAAATTTTCGAAATCACCCATACGGCCAGCCGGTTCTCATTTCCATAGTGCGAGCTGTTAGTGTGGTCGAGTGTTTGAATGAACTTTAAAAGGGTTACGCTTCAAGAGGGGGGCGTAAGGGTTTGCGGTATTGCGGTATTGGGTCATTTTTGGTGCGGTGTTGCGGTAATTTTTATTTCAAAGTACGGTATTGCGGTTTTCAGAGTCCAAGCGGTTTTCGGTAAGTTTAAATTTTACGCCGCGGTAGTCGGTGAAGAAATCTTTGTGTCGCGGTGATCTGCTTCTTTTTCATGACAAGAGGATACAAATCCTAAAAGGTCTCCCTGGCTAGCCTGCCTGACCTGTGTGCACAGTCGGGGATTGTATTGCGCAAACAGCGCAGACAAATCGTACGGCTTCTAATTTCAGTTAATACTTGATATGATTAACGACATTAACTTTTTCATCCAATAGTACGTAAACATGTCGCATTATTTATGACTTCATGGACCTTGTAGGAATAGTCAGCTTGGTTAACCTCCTTTAAACCAATCTTACCACCACTTTTGTGCCAGTCGTCAAACAATAGAGAGCGATCCAGCGGGGTCAACTAAGTGATCAGTCAGATATTCCAGGAAATAGTGAGGTCAGTGAGATCGTTATAAATTGCGTAGTGTAGAAAGATAATCTATAAAGATGGCGTGGTCTAAAATTACTACTTGTCCTTCTCGTTGTGCATGCAGGAATTACCCTACCCTGCTTACCCTACGT